CCTACGGGATTGCAAGGCAAAGAAATAGGAGTCAACCAGCTACCGGCTGGAATTTGGCTCTTCTCCGAAACACATCTAACTGAACCAGGAATAGCCAGGTTCCGCAAAGGACTTCAAATCAGTAAGTCACCATTTACCTATTTTGTGCATGGAGCGCCGCTGCCACGCAGAGCTCACTCCGAAAGCGTTGGCATTCACTCTGGTGTAGCAGCCGCCTCGAGCTTCCCGTGCAGAGCTTTGCCCAGCCAGTGGAGCCAACAAACCTGGCAAAGCGGCAGAATCCAAGCAGTTGCTGCCTTGGTCCATGGGCAATGGATTGTAGGCGGCATGGCTTACGGATACTCCCCAGGCCAAAGCAACCCACATGCCAGGGAGCACACCGACCTTCTACTTGAAGAGCTTGAAACTCGCATCGTTTGGAACGCCACCGGACCCCGGTTCCTCGGAGGCGATTTTAACCTCGAACCCGCCACCAGCGTTCGTTTTGAGCGCTGGAGGCGGGCAGGCTTTGTTGAAGTTCAAGAAGCTGCCTTCACTAGGTGGGGTGTCGAGCCCCGGGCAACCTGCAAAGGTGCCACACGGGTTGACCAACTCTGGGTCTCAGCAGAGCTTGCTGCTGCCTTGGAAGCCGTCCAGGTGGACGACTCCCATTTCGCAGATCATGCCACGGTGAGCGCCCAGTTCACTGGCATGGCGCCCACGTCAGCATTGTGGTGGCGCATGCCTCAGTCCATCCAGTGGGACCCAAAATTGAAAAACACGCATGAAAACTTCCAGTTGCCAGAATCTGCTTGCCCACAGGTGCAGTACCAGCAACTGTGGCAAGAAGTGGAATACAGGCAAAACCGGCTTGTCACCGAAGCAGGAACCACTCCCATTCGACCTGCACAGTTAGGCAGAGGCTGCACCTTGGACACCAAGTCCGTCCGGTGGAATCCCATGCCGCCCAGGCCAGGGCGCAATGGGGAAGTAGTTCCAGCCTTCTATGGCCAAAGCAAGCAGCATTCACTGTGGCTGCGACAATTACGTAGGCTCCAATCTCTGGCCAGAGAGTTGCGTGCAGCCACCAACTTCTCCACCGATGCCGTGATTCGGCGCACCTTCACATGGCAAGCAATCCGACGTGCCAAGGGTTTTTCCCTTAGCTTCTCAGATTGGTGGCCGTTTAGGCCCTGCGTACAGGAGGCCGACCCGGCCAGGATACCACAGTTGTGTCCCGAAGCCACTGTAGCGGAAGCGATCCTCCTCGGGTTTCAGGCTAACTTCAACGATCTCGAAGCCAGTTTGAACCGAGACAGAATCAGGTTCGCCAAGGACAGACGGAAGGCACACCCCTCTCTGGTCTTCCAGGACATTTCTAGGCCAAAAGCGAAGCCAGTTGACATCTTCCTTACTCGCACCACTGCTACCGTCAGTGAGGTGGACCATGAGGAAAGTGCCCTGTGCTTGGAAACCGCGGGAAAACTGTGCCACTCGAAGCCCATCAGGGCCCGGGGGAAAATTCTGGATGTAATTCACCTAGACGAAGACAAAATCTGGGTCCAGTCCACTCAGGATCTCCAACCTGGGGACGAACTCGTCCAGGAAACCATGGTCGGCGAACTTGATGAAATGTTTCAAGCCTTTGCCAACGAGTGGCAAACACGATGGGCCAAGCACGACGCCTGGCCACAGTCCACCTGGGACCATGCCTCCGAACTTGCCTGGGCCAGCTTCCCACCCCAACTACACCCCCTTGATCCTATCACGGAGGAACAGTGGAGAGCTGAAGTCAGGCGCAAGCCACGCAAAGCAGCCGCAGGTCCGGACGGCGTTCGCCGCGAGGACCTGCTGAACCTGCCATCTGACATAGTCCGTGGCATTCTCGCATTGTATCACCAAGCCGAGACCACGGGCAAATGGCCACCGCAACTGGTCACAGGCATTGTCAGTGCACTTGAGAAAACATCCTCACCGAATAGTGCGGCCTCCTACAGACCAATCACCGTGTTTAGCCTGCTCTATAGGTTATGGGGCAGCATCCGATGTCGCCAGTGCATACGGGCGATAGCGCCAATCCTTGATACCAATATCTTTGGGAACGTGCCAAAAAAACACGCCGGTGACGTATGGTGGAAGCTGCAGAGCCGCCTTGAATTTGCTTGTGCCAACGGCCAGGAAGTCGCCGGTCTCGTAGCGGACATCACAAAATGTTTCAACTGCTTGCCACGTACGCCAGTTTTCACCGCAGCCATTGCCGCTGGGCTGGACTCCGGAGTCGTTAGAGCCTGGAGCGGAGCCACTTCTGTTATGGCCAGGAGATTCAAAATCCGAAATTCAGTAGGCCCTGCCCTACACGGTACGACAGGGTACCCCGAGGGATGTGCCCTCTCTTGCTTGGCCATGGTCCTTTTGAACCAGGTCCTGGCAACTCACATGCGCCTCAATGCCCCAGGGGTGAATATGTTGTCGTACGTGGACAACTGGGAGGTCCAGACCCACGAGGCCCGCAATGTCCAGCCCGCATACCGGGTGCTTCAAAGCTTCGCCGACGCTCATGACTTGCATTTGGATCAGGATAAATCCTATATCTGGGCCAACAATACTCAGGGGAGGAAAATTGTGAAACGCACGGGCTTATCCCTTAAGCTCGCGGCCCGTGACCTTGGAGGGCATGTGCAGTATAGCAGACAGCCCACCAACGCCACGCTTGTAGAAAGAATCACTAAGCTCAAACCCCTCTGGGCTCAATTACGCCAGTGCTGCAGTCCATACAAAGTCAAACTCATGGCCATCAAAGCCGCTGCATGGCCTCGAGCTCTGCATGGCATTTCCATTTGTCACCTTGGGCCGGAAAATTACAAACATCTCCGCACCGGAGCTATGCGCGGACTAGGAGCCAAGAAGCCAGGGGCCAACCCCAAAATCCATCTTGGGGTGTTGGAGGAGCCCAGTCATGACCCGGAGTTCCATGCTGCCTGGATCACACTGCGGACATACCGAGCACAAGCCGACCCACAAACACTCGCCACGCTCACACTGGCAGCGGCCGCTGCCACGGGTACCCGCACAGGACCCAGCCGGGTATTGGTAGAGAGGTTCGCTGCCTTTCAGTGGGAGGTCGGCCCAGTGGGTGAAGTCGTTGACCAACTTGGTGAATTCTCCTTGCTACATGATCCAGCGCAGAGCGTTTATATGCGCATGCGACTAGCGTGGAACCGCCAAGCCGGTGCCTCGGTAGAACATCGACCCGGGTTTGCAGGTATGAGCCAAGTTGACGCCAGCCTCACAAAAACAGTTCTGGGAAAATTTCCTGACACGGACCAGGCCATCCTCAGGCTAGTACTCAACGGCTCCTTCTTTGCGAATGACAAGGTGCACAAGTACGATCCGAATCAAACGGAGCAGTGCCCGCTCTGTCAAGAGCCCGACAGCATGCATCATAGGCATTGGGAATGTGCAGCAACCCAGGCCTCACGCCAGGCCATCCCTGCCGGCATCGGAAGCCTGGAGCTTCTGCATGAATGCACTCGTGAACGGGGTTGGGCCACCATATCCCCGCAGCAAATCCGGTGGATGAAAAGGTTGCTTGAGCCAGTCACTTTCGAATACCGTGCTCCGCATAGTGAATCTGGCGCCCCCTTGAACCTTTTCACGGACGGCTCGGCGCAATCGCCGCAGGACCCGGTACTCAGGTACGCTGCCTGGGCAGTCACCGCAGTTCACGAGCACGACATTTGGGAAAACCACATCGTCACTCAAGGACCCCTGCCAGGACTCCTCCAAACCGTGCCTCGAGCAGAGACGTATGCAGTTAAGCAGGCCCTGGAAGTGGCCATACGGGCACACAGACCGGTTCAAATCTGGTCTGACTGCCTGGGCGTCGTCCGCAAAATGCAGGCCATTTTGGCCGGCAGCGAGCCCAGTTGGGCCAACGCAAGAGACGGTGACCTGTGGGCCGACATAGCCGCCTCCGCCCAGAAGCTAGGACTTGCTAGGATAAAAATTACAAAAGTTGCGGCACACACCAGTGAAAATGACCATACCTCACCGCTCGAGGAATGGGCAGCCTATCACAACGCCTGCGCAGACAAAGCAGCAGTTCAGGCCAATGCCAATCGGGACCAGGCCTTTCACCTTGCCCGTAGTGCATGTGCCGGAGCCAGGCAACACCAGCGCTTGGTTATTGCTGAGCTGCACGCTCATTTTGTCAGAGTTGCCATGAAGTTTCTCCAAATCCAGCCGGGTCAACAAGCCCCAGGGCCGCCCAGGTTGGCCCAACCAGTTGTTGCTTTCGTAGTGCCGGGTAACCCGCTGCCGACGCCGCACCGGGCGTATGGTAGACTCGGCCAGAGGGTAATTGATACCATGACACTTTGGTGGAAACATTGCTTGAAGGATGGGCCCATTAGATGGGTATCTTACATGCAGCTTCTCGTTGCCTACCAGCAGGCCACCGGGTTCCAAGGCCCGGTACGTGATGGCAAACTGTGGCATGAGCCCAATCTCCAAGGCACCACCCTGGTGCCACGCACGCTGCGTCAACGAACCAAGTGGTTCAAAGCAGCCCTCAACGCCCTTTGGGACGAGCAAGGAATCTCCTACACGGTTGCCTTTGCCCGGCCAGAAAGTGAAACTCTCTGTGCCTGGCTCCAGTGTGTCAGCGTTCCTTGGCCTCAGAACAGGCATGAGGCGGTCGAGATTTGGCTTGGGCAGCACCTCCCGCATGGAGTGCTGCGCCGCACAACGCAAGGGGCCGGCTATTTGCCACCAGCTGGCCCAGTGGCTTTGCTCAGAATTCAGACCCCACCGTCGAGCTCCCTGCTCCGGTGGATGAGAAGAACGTAGATCGTGACTCAAAGAGTCGTCAGCCGGCCGCGTGCAATAGCACCACGCCGGGATGAGCCCGTGAGAAAGTGAGAAAATGTTCATTTTTACTGGGGGTCTGCAAAAACAAAGTTTTTTGCTACCCTACCAAGAGTAGAGATGTTTAGGGAAGGCAAAGAGTACCGACTCCCCAGGTCGAGCAGAAGCTGTCCAAGCCAAAGCTGAAGGCGTCGACGACCGTTTTGGGCGAAAAGAATCAACGAGTTTTTCAAAGTCCACCTTGTGGGGTAAAAATAGGTATTCCCAAAATGGAACCCTGGCAAATGGAAACATAGACGAAAATACGCGGTCCAATTCCTGGTGGAATTTAATTTTGACCCATAGCCACCTTTCGACCCTTTTGGTGTATGGTCATGACACCAAGAGGTTCACCTTGTATGTTTGGGTCCTTTGGGCCAGTGAGATCAGGCCATGGGCGGAAAGGCCTGTTTTGAATGTGCCTCTTGATTTTGTGGGTTGCAGCGCTTTTTTGGGTGCCATGTCGATTTGAAGGGGAGTGATTCTCATTTCCGGACAATAAATTGTTGAGCGTGACGCGGACGTCATCCACAGTAGCGACCGCAAATATTGACTATTGACCATATGTAAAGCAACAAGCAACATTGGGGATCCCCAAAGAAAGACAGGACCAAAACGGCAGAAAATCTGGAACACCTTCCAATTAGAATGGGGGCGGGGAGAACTGTTAAACCAGACAATCTGCTGATCAAGGGAGAGTCATGCTTGTGCTTACTCAATTGGTTTGCTTTGTTTTTGACAAGGCCCTCTGACGAAGGGAGCTCTTTGCTTTTGCTTTGTGATTGATTCTGAGTCCCGCACATATTATGGGAATTCTTCACACTACATATTAAAGGTCTCGGCCGTGCAGCGAAAGCAAAGAGAACCTGGTTGGCCATGTGACAGATTGGTTTAAACCAGCGCCTGCTCCTCTTTCTCTGTGGATCCCAGTTACCGCTATAGTAGGCAAGCGGCCATTTCCCTTCCTGTTTTTGAAGGGTGGTGTCCTTGGCTTTCTGCAAAACCGGTGACATGGAATCACAACACTGAGTTGAAACAATTGCGGATTTGTTCCGCATGTTCAAACCAGATTCAATTTCACATCAGCTTCTTGAATCAAAACGCGCCTTAAAGCATTCTCACTAACAGCTTCTTTCATTGCATACTTAGGAACCAATACTAGAGTCCAGACACAAATTACTCAACCTTATGACTTGCAGTTGACGTTTCTTTTGAGCTATGACCTTCAAATGCGTGTTCGACATGTCCAGTGGTAGCATTCCAAACAGATACTATCCGCAACCCTATCCCAGCAACCCTGAATGAAACCTAAAGGAAGCCAACTCTGGTCCGGGAGGACCAAGCTGTTCAAACGGCTTCCATGTGCGTTTCAGAATATGGTTTTTTGTTTTCCATATGCTCTTCAGGACTGCAAAAACAACGGTTGTTGCTACCAGATCAAGGGTTGTTGCTACTTGCCTGGTTTTTCCCCAGGGGGAAGGAAAAAGCCAATGCAATCAACCCCCAGAAAGTTGACCCAAATGGGGTGATGGAAATCCTGAACGGTGCATAATGGTTTTTATACTACCCCAACCATTGTTCTACTGGTAACTCAAATTCAGGGTACTTATTTTACTCTCTATTGCCCTGCCCATTTTTCCTTTTTGGGGTAATATAAGGGTGCCGATTCTTTTTTGCCCATGGAAATCCATTGGTCATCTGATCCACAATCAAAACCCGGGTAGATGAATGTTAGTAAGGGGCAGTCCCAGCCAGACATAGTTGCAGCGCCTTCTTAATTCTTTACATGGTTCTAGACCATTTTCACACCTGGTCTTGATTGTGACTCAGGCCGGGAAGAAAAAAAAGCAGCATTCGGACTTCTTGGCCCAGCTGACTTGTATCTGTGGCTTCCGAACTTGGACTCCGTGAGCCGAACCAGTACTCGTTTCTCGTTTTTGTTTTTGTCCCGGCGCGGAAGTAGAACGCAGCGCAGGACGGCTCCATCGTCGGCATCCGCGGGGACTACTACGGGCAAGGCGCGCTCCGCGCGCCTGAGTCGCCGAGGGGCTCCCCGTGGTGCCGTCAAAGGCCGGCACGGGCCAAAGCAACCCGGCGAATCGAATCAAAACGGCCCGTCTTTTTTTGTTACAGTCATGGGGTCGTGGTATGGGAATCTAACTTTGACATCCCAGAGTTCGGGTGAATTGCGGAGTATTTCCCCTGACTAACCCTGGTACCCCAACATGGCACCGCCTCTTTGAGGTCCCAAACTTACCGATGGAGGCCCAAGCCCCTTTCAATGGGCGGTCCAACGATGCATCGGGGCGGATTACGATTAAAATCACAACGGCAACGGAGACTTCTTGTGCAATAGGCTCAATGGGCCAAAAACTGATCACTCCAAATTTCCTTGCCGGCGAAAATCTCTGGGACCTTCCAGGGGAACCCCTTTTTTGTTGTGGTTTTAAACGGAAACCAAAATGAATTTTGGGGTCCGAATCAACCCCCTTTGGTGGTTTTAAAGGGAAACCAAAGGCAATGGTATGGAGTTTTCGGTAGTTGCTCGGACAGGAAAAAGGACCTGGTCGCACCAAGTTGGGTTCAAATCCCCGAGGCACCACCGGGACTGCTCTTGAGCCGTCCCGTGTGCGATACAGGGAAGCCAAGACGGAAAACGTGTCGCGCGTCCGAATCCTCAAGGACCAGCCACCCAACTGCTGCAGACTCGCCCGGCTTCCGCTTCGCTCAGGTCCGGTGCTGCACATGGAGGACGCAGGCGCTGCTATTTGGGGCCCAATTTGGGGCGAATTTTTAGGCGTGAATCTCCAAGCATAGGTTTTTGTCTGGTTGGTTTGGTTAGAAGAATAGAGGGCCCTGGTTTACCTGGTGGTTCAATCATCTACCAGGGCCATCTACTTTCCAAAAAGGACACCTATGTCTCCAAGGGTAGCTCTTGCGTGATTCCAAGTTTGGCTTGCCTCATTTTAGGGTTTGGTGATCTTCCAAAGGTTTGTCCCCGTCCGGACTTGGAAGGATCAGACCACCCTCCCGTCCACATGGAAAGTTGAGTGAGGAATCGCCTGGAAGACGATGTTCCTTCCAAAGGGACGATTTCTCTGGTAGGTTCCACGTTAGTGGACCGGAGGCTGTTTCCGAGTAGTTATCCAACTTGTTTTTTGCGATCCTAATTGGTGCGAAATGGATTCTGTCCATGCACACGAAAGACAACCGGTGGCCATGAATTTCAACGGGGAAGCCCTAAAAGGGTGGCGGACACGGAACCCACCGAATTTTGATGTCCACCTGTCTCCGGGTTCCAACTCGGATTCATATCCGAGGTGTAGTTTGGGGATTTGTCCCTTCAAGCCAAACCCTGACAACTCAAAGAAAGAAAAAAGAACGAGACCTCCAGTGGATTGCGAGATTCCCTTTCGGGGGCGGTTCCCTTTCAAAAAAAAAGACCATGACCCGTTGTTCAGCGATTTGTTTGGACGAGGGGGGCCTTTCAACTCAAGCAACAAATAGGAGTGCCCCGTGTCAGGCGGAAATTTGCTGGGTTTGGGTTGGATGATTTTGGTAAAGGCGCACCCAAAGCAGACAGGACTTTTGATTCGGGGTTGAATGGCACCTCCATTTGGAAGGATTTGGAGTTTAAAATGTCGGCTTTCCTCTTGGCTTCAAGCAAAAAAGACAGATTTTTAAACCTGGAAAGGGTACCCTCAAGAAACACATATGGGTGTGTCTTTTGCTGAGGGTGCGTTTGCTTTGTGATGGCAAAGGAAAACCCAACGGATATCTATATATATAGACATTTACATTTATAGATATGTATATATATATATATATATACATACATATATACATACATATATGCATATATATATATATATATGCACATATCTTTTCAAATAAGAACGTGTACACATATCCACGTATCACACGCACCCATTCGGAGACCAGGTGAGAAGATCACCTCGCCTTCGGCCCGGAGCTCGGAGAGCTTCGCTTCTGGGATCGGATCGGTTTTGGTGGCGGGATCCATCAAAGGCCAGGTCACCAAAGCTTTGGTTGCCCACCCTGTTTTTTTAAAGAACCAATTCCAGGTATTTGTTTTGCATGTGTCTACCCTGTAAGGCTGCCTTTCGTGAACCGGTGTCTAACCCCGAATTTCTGTATGTTGTGTTTGTCTAGGCCACTCTGATCCTTACTCGAAAGGTCCTCTAGATGTTTCGGTTCCGTCTATGGATTGGGTGTCCAACCCTGGGATTGACAAGTGTTTCCTTCACTTCCATGTGCGTTTCAGAGTATGTGTCTATGTTCCCCTGTCGATATAGGCTCGAATGTAACGAAAAGCGCGAAAATGGAATTCATAGATGTCCTTGTGGCTTGTTAGAACATAGACCCTAGTTTCTGCTGAAACCTTGTGAATGATAGAAACCCATGGCTTCTTGGTATTTTGCATGGAGTTTCCTTAGGGTGCTGCGAAGTTTCAATTCGCAACCAACCCGCGGTATGTTCTCCCTCGTTACTGCGGAGTAATGGTTCTGTCGAAAACCAGCACGGTCGAAGGTAAGGGTTGTTTACCGTTGCTTCTGCCTAGGCTGAGTGATTTGGGTATGGGTCAAAATAAAACCACCAGGAATTGGACCGCAGGATTTAGTCTTTGGTTCCATTTACCAGGGCAACCCCCCAAAAATGATGGATTTTCCTTTTTGCCCGGACCGAAATCTCCTTTGTTTCTTAGGTGCCAAAAAGTGAATTCGCCAGCACCCACGGGTTTTCTTCTCCTCGCCCGGACGAAAAACCCGCGGAAAAAAGACGGGGAGGTGTTTCCAGCCGCGCCGTCGGCAGGCGCTGAGCTTCGGAAGCACTCGGGAGCCCAGCTGCGATCGCCCGGTGCGGAGGCCCAGAGGCGGAACGTCGTGGATCTCGAAGCGCCAAAGGGTGAGCCTGAGCTTTTTTTGTTTGTTGTTTTGTTCCTTCCTCCCGTTTATATATATATATATATTATGTTTTTATTCTTCCCTCTTTTTTTGGGGGGGGAGGTAGTTGTTTGTTGTGGTTGTGTGGTTGTTTCTTCTTTTTTTTGGGGTGGAGGGGCGGTGGTTGGACATGTTTTCGTCTTTTATTTTTTTTCTTCTGGGGGTTGGATTTCTGTTGTTTGTGAACCTCAGCTGGTGTTTTCTTTTTATCCGGGCTGGATTTCTGTTGTTTGTCCGGAAGTGTTACGGTATGTCCCAAGTTCAGACAAGAGCCAGGGGAAAGAAGCAGGCTGTCTGTTGTTGAAATCCAGACAGAAATGTGTGGAGAGCATGACAACTCCAACCTTTCCGCAAGAATCTTGGTCTGGACCCACAAAAACATTGTGTTTTTCCTTTGGTTCCCTTGAAACAGTCCAAAAAAGAATGGGGTACACACAAAAAAAGATGTGAGGCTTTGTACTAGCGAAAGCAAACCGCCCAGAATACTGGGTTCGCATATTTTTAAACCCTGCATTTGGAGCGGGGAGCTGCCTTGTTCCTCGGTGTGAGGGTTTGCGGGAGAACTTCCGAAGAGGGGAAAGATCCGAAGGAACATTTGAAAGAAACTAGTTGATATGATAGTGTCTGGGGTAGACTTAGGATACATTTTACATTTTACCAGTGACTCAAAGTGAAGCAAACAATAAGATATACATTCTATAACTGGGCCTAACTCTAATCATGGTGTCTTGTTTGTAGGGGACCGTCTTCTTGGTGGTTCTGAAGGACAACCAAAACGAAAGCCACCATGTGTCTAGCCCTTAAAGCAAGTGCACCCCCCAACAACTGCTTTGTCCCAAGTCCAAAAAGCAGTGGTTGGGAGGCACTGGTCATATGCGCTGAATCGCCAACAATCATGGAAGTCGACCGAAGTCTTTCGAAAGACTACCGTCAAGTTAGGCCCGGAATGTCCACTTCCATGCCAACCAAAAGCCGCACTTTTCCTCTACCAAAAGCATTTTCCCCTCCCCGAAATATGTGTTTGTTTTTCTTATACCGATAGTCGTACCCCGACCAGCTTCTCCGGCTCTGTTGTCCGGGGTTGCCCGTTTTTGGCTGTGAACCCAAAAGGAAAGCCATCCGAGGCCATCGGGATCCAACCTACCTAGAGTCTCCATGACCCTTTAAAAATGGGGTCAGTGCCCTAAATAATGGGGTCATGGACCTATTTTGAAAGGGTCATGGAGGATCCAACCTAAATTTCAGTGGCTCAAAGCAAATCGGCCGGATCTGACCCTTGGGTGATATCGCCAAGTCTGCTTCAGTGGCCCAGTAATTTGCTCCCTTTTTTCGGGCCTTTTTTCGGGTAAGGCTTCCAATTCCTTTAAACTCAGCCAAGAAAAAGGGTGCCGATTCTTTTTTTCCCATGGAAATCCACTGGGCATCTGAGATAAATCTGGGTTGCGTCAAAAGGGGCTGAGAGAAAAGACGAGACACCCTCTTCTTGGGTGTTCAAACAACGTCAGGTAGGTTATCCAAGCCCCCCACCCAGTACTGCCCTTATACCCTTTCTTGGGGGAGGCCCCCCCTACTAAAATGGACTACAGCCCCCAGAACTTGACAGGGACCCAGTCCCTCTAAAAGGAAAATGGTCCAAGCCAGGACCCCCCGAAGGTCAAATTCTATGTGAAAAGAGGTGGGAGGGTACGTGGTTGGGCAACTGGGGCCGATATTGATTCTTTCAAGAAACACATAGTTTGTTGTTTTTGGGAGAAGTGTGAAACACTTGGAAAAACAGCTAGTACAGCAAGTTAGAGATGGTTTCCTTTGGTTGGACTCGTTCCTTATTACATTCTTTGTATTTTTAGTGAAAATTGTACAAGTATCACGTGATAAATATATTAAGTAGAGTTCGTAAGAAATACATGTCTATTGATTTGCAAACCAATTCGATCGGAAAGGAGATCCTGTGTAAGATTTATTTTGAAATAGAATACTCAATATTCAAATTATATGGCAAACTTAAAGTTTTGTTTTTTGGATTCGTCCTGATCAAATTCTATTCAATGTGAGATAGATAAACGATCATTCCCCCGGAAAATACCAGCAAATAATGGTTTCCCATGCATTCAAAGTGGTGCGAACGGATTTTGCCCATCCACAGTAAGACACCCACCTGACGGCGCTTGAACTCGGACGCCTCGCTGGCGCGCCGAGGATTCCCGCGCCTCCGCCTGCAGCGATTCCTTCCGCCAGTCGCGCCTTGCATTGACCGGCGGCTTTTTTGGGGCTTCAAAACGACGGGCAAATTTGGGCTCGTCCTTTCTAGGTCCCCCAGCTAGGTGCCCTTTCTTACCCCTTTTTTGGGGGAGGGTTCTACTAAAATAAACCACATAAAAAGAACCGGTACCCTTATTCTAGCCTCTCTACTGGAGGACCTAGTTTTGGACCCGACTTACTTGCTGGTGATGCTGCAAAATCGGGAACTTGAACCCTCAAACTACCATAGTTTTGGCAATAGCCCATGCTGTATTTTCAGAATCAGAAACATGATTGTTTGTGTACCGCAGATTGGGGGGCAAGTTGGGGTTAACTCAAAATGGACCATCACAATTGGTGGATGTTATCTCTATGTCCCTTGAACACCACACCAAAAAGGGTATTTGGATTTTCGGCCAAGTTAGCAAGTGGTTAGTCACTGGGTTCAGAACCTCCTACAAGGTGAACCCACATTCACGGGCGACTGTTTTTTGGTGGGGCATAGCCTAAGCCACCAACAACTTACTTGGTTTATATCCTCCCCACAAGGCAACCCCACCCCACATTCGCGGGTGACGTTTTTGGGGCGGGGCATAGCCTACGTCACCAACAACTTACTTGCCTGAACACCCGCTTCCCCAGAATTAGCTCCCCCTCTTTTGTTTCTTCTGTTTTTCTTTTTTTTCGGGTTCCCTTTAGTTTCCACTACCCGCAAAAAAGATCTCATTTTTTGCTGGCGTCCGATTCTTGCAGCCTAGCAAATTCCAACCCCGTCCGGTCAATTCGTTCGACTTGAGGCGCGGGCGCATGTTGTTGGGCCGCACAGCCCGTCCGGAGGAGACCTCAGGGCTAAATTGGAATGGAGCATGGGGTACATGGAAAAAAACACTGTTTTCACCGTTAAGGGGGCAATCAATTCACTGTTATTGGCATGTTGTTTAAGTTGTTTGATCTTGTGTGGCTCTGTTTTTGTAGCCCCATACCAAGAGTTGGAAGAACACCCCTCGCCTTTTTTTTCTTCGATGGCGCCCTACCATTCTGATCAGTCAGCCCTTAGACTCGGACAAACCTGGATTGGCCTACCAAAAAAAGGGGTCTGTGTTTTTTTTTTCTTGGGCAGAGGTTCTCCAGAATACAATCAGATGTATAGGCCCCTTGCAGTGCCTGCAAGGGTTCACACAATTGCTGTGGGCAGTGGGGAGTTGCCGTTGAACCACAATGGTTCTTGGTGACTCCCAGCCATCCGGTTCCTTAGCCTTTTAGCCTTTTAGCCTTTTAGTGCTTAGTGGTAGTTTCCATTTAGCCCACCGAAAGTGAACAACTTTTCGCGGGGGATAGGGCAGGAAAGGGGTGGTTCGAGGATCGCTGTGGATCGAGGAGCTTGGCATCTTGTGGATTTGAAGCTCTTGTTGGAGGGAAGCGAAATGACTGCCGTTCCTCCAAACCGAAGCCGAGCTTTAACATACTTGATCTCCCCTCAGCTCAACCCCACATCGGGCGACCTTGTTCAACTTACTTGACCGAACACCCAGGTAGTAATCCTAGCTGCGAAGGCTAATTGCGTGGCCTACTTGGCTGACTTTGAGACCATCCGAATAAATTCTGTTGTATAAGCTACGATGGTTTTTGGTACCAATTGATCATCGGATTCCAACCCCACGGCCTTCCGGGGTCGGTGGTTTGGCTGCTTCTTACCTTGTGAAGCGATTCTTGGCGTCATTGTCCAGCCCATTCCCATCTGAGGCTGGCCCTTCAGTTGCCACAGGTAGCAGATGTTGAGGGCAAAAAATCCATGGTTGCCAGGAACCCCAAACCGGATGTCACAAAATATTGAGGGCGTATTCCCGAAAGAGGAATTGGACCGCCCAAAAGGAATTCGCACAAAAGGAAGCCTGGCCGCAGGTCGCCTGTTCGTTTTTTGTTTGTCGGGATCTGTTGCAGGCTGCAACCAGGCACTCAAAAGTGCCGAAACGTGCCACTTGAAAGCTTACACTTGGACCATACCAACCAACGTCAGGCAAGTAGCTTGCAACCATGGTGAGACACCTGGGGTAACTTTGCTTGGTCCCCATAAAAGTTGTTACCTTACGGGTTTTGATGGGCCCCCCAAAATGGTTGGTTTCCCATTGGCTTCCAATGGACACCAAGCCAAAAGCGGTACCAACTCAAACCCCCAGAACTAGCTCCCCTTTTTTTTGTTTTTTGCTTTTTCGGGCTCCCCTTTGTTTTCCTAACCAGGCAAAGGATGTTTGTTCTTTGCTGGGGAACCCTGTTTCCTAGCCAAGGCCAAAGAGGGTACCTGCCCTCGGGAAAAACACACAGCTCCCCCCACCCCACTCACACCCACTCCCAGCACCCCACCCGGCCCCTCACCTCAACCACAGCCGCTCAGGACCTGCAGCGCCCGCCCTCCCGCGGGCCTGCGAGCCGGGGGTCCACTCCGCCGGGCCGGGAGACCGAACTTCCGAACCGACCCCACCCCGCCGGGATTCGGGGACCCGGCCCACGAAAAGTTGGCTGGACTGCAGCGTCACTTTTTGGGGGGGAAGACCCGGAGGCGAAAACGAAAAACAGCAGGTTGGATCGAGATGTCGCCACTGTTTGGGGAAGACCCTTCGAGCTTTTTGTGTTTAGTTTGAACATGTTTGGACTTTTTCTTGGCCAATCTACTCGGGAAGTGAGCCAAGGGTCAGCTTTTTTGTTTCTTCTTTTTTTCAGAAGTTGTTTGGCGGACCTGGGCTGCATACAGGTCTTTCGGAACTAAGAACAAAGCAAACATGTTCAGGTTTGGGGTGGTTTGGATTTGGATTCGAAACATTTCCTGGTAAATGGGACGCCTCCCACCACCTTAAATCAGGGAAGCCTTCAAGAGAACTGATTTTCCTTTTGGTTTCCATTAAAAGAAGCACAAAAACGGTGCCCTTCACAAGGAGATTGCAACTAGGGCCAGGAAGTGAGTGGTGTTCTGCCTGGGGGACCTGGGTTGAGTCCCCTTGCCAGGTAAGAGTTCCCTTGGTTGAACACCCTGACGTTTGAATGAGGCAAGCCTTCACCGTTTTTTTTTGTTTGTGGTTTGGACTTGATTTTGAACCATTTCCTGGTTCTTGTAGAGGGTAAATGGGAAGCTACCCAACTTCCAAACGCGCGGGACCCCCCACGGGGTTTTAGGCTTGCCCGCCGAAGAGCCCTGGGCCTCGCGTTCGGGGCCGGTAGTCTTGAGCCTTCTTGTGTTTCCCTTCAACGCCACACCAAGGTGCCACAAAGTTCCATTTGCTTATACTTTTTGATTACAGTTTCCAATGTTGGTTTTAATGGGAATCTATCACTACTGGAAGTATGCGGTGTTTTCTCTTCTTTTTCAGGGGGCTTAAGCAAATAGAAGCCTTCAACACCACAACAAGGTGCCACAAAGTTCCATTTGCCTATGTTTTTTACAGTTTCCCTTGTTGGTTTTAAAGGGAATCTATCACTACTGGAAGTATATATTATTTTCCCGGGGGCTTAAGCAGATAGAAGCCTTCAACACCACAGCAAGGTGCCACACAGTTCCTTTTGCTTACACTTTTTTTTACAGCTTCCCGTTGGTTTCAACGGGAATCTATCACTACTGGAAACAGGGGGCTTAAGCAATAGAAGCCTTCAACACCACAACAAGGTGCCACAAGTTTTTTGCCCCAGGTTGGTTTTAAAGGGAATCTATCACTACTGGAAGTATATATTATTTTCCCGGGGGCTTAAGCAGATAGAAGCCTTCAACACCACAGCAAGGTGCCACACAGTTCCTTTTGCTTACACTTTTTTTTACAGCTTCCCGTTGGTTTCAACGGGAATCTATCACTACTGGAAACATGTGTTTTTTCCCCAGGGGGCTTAAGCAGATAGAAGCCTTCAGCACCACAGCAAGGTGCCACAAAGTTCCATTTGCTATATTTTGTTTTTGCTGTTTCCATTGTTGGTTTCAAAGGGAATCTAGCACTACTGTAAGTATGTTTTTTCCCCCAGGGGGCTTAAGCAAATAGAAGCCTTCAACACCACACCAAGGTGCAACAAAGTTGCAAGGAAGCCCTCAAGGAAAGGAACCCCACCCAGTTTTGTTTGGAGCGCCGCGCCATTTTCAACCCCCGTTGCAGTCGTTGTGGGCTTGCAAGGCTTCGCACCAACAGGATGTTCATGTTCTTCCTTTTGGGTCCGATCGGGGCCGATCGGGGCTTGGTATGCAGAGCCCGGACAATCCCCGTACCCTGATATTGCTGAACCGAGGTATCAAAAGTTGCCGTAGTTTGAAGAATTCCTCAAATTCTGTTTGGACCAAAAGGGGTAGGTCGGATCCATCTGTATGGATGAGCTTTCTCCTTATACTTAGCACCGGAGGCTTTGTGCCGTTGGGACTTCAACGGTACCTCAAAATGTCAAGGCCTTTTTGAGGTCCCAAGTTCCTTCCATGCATTTCGGATTTCGGTCCGAAGCCACCCATTTGTCCAGAGGGGCCCTTACTTGGCCTTACTCCAAATATAAAGTTGCTTCAGGGTATTTTTTGACAAACATGCTTTGTTTGACAAACCTATAATCCTTTTTCAGCAACCCCCTTTTTTGAAAATACTGTTTGGACAGCTTGGTTTTCCACGGTAAATACCTGCTTCTTTCGCAAGGGCTTGACCTCACACCCTGACCAAAGCGGGCATTTGGAGCAGGGGGAAGCAGGAGCCTCGATCCAGGCGAGGACTTGGGTTTCCAGCAGCAAGATGAGGAGGCAGGGGGGGGTTCTGAAAACAGGTGTTTGTTTGTTGTGTTTAAGGTGTTTTTTTGTTTTTGTGTTTTTTTCCCCTCCCAAACTTGTTGTTTTTAAAGGTTTTTTGGTTTTCCAGGGTTTAGTTGGGGGGGGGGTTAAGATTTTAGCAGATCAGACAATGGACAGCCCGGTATTGACGAGGTGACCCCCCGAAACTTGTGGTTCCCAAGCGTCCGGTTCCTTGGCTTTCCAGCAGTTTTTGGCTTGGGGAAGCCCATGAAAGCCCAGACAGCCCAGTATTAACGAAACAAAGCTCATCATGTGACACTAAAAATGAATGAACCAAAAATGCCCTCATGGCTTCAATTGTTTAAACATAATCTTTAAAATCGGGCACCCCCCCCAAGAAAAAAAGGGCTTAGGTTTTCCCTTTGGTTTCCCTCCAAACCACAAACCCAGCCCAGTTGTTTTCGTCGGGCACTCCAAGACTGGCTTCGGTCTTCGCTTTGGTTTCCCTCTAAACCACGAACAAGAAAAAAAGAAGTGGGCCCCCACATCGCTCGGACCTTTGTAAGAGGGCGAGCCAAGCTGAGGGCCCTCAAAGTTGCCAGGCACCCACCCGTCAAAAGCCGTAGGATGGGTGACTCGTCTTTTTTTACCCGGAGGCTCCAATTCGAGTGATGTAGGGCCCTCAAATAGCCAGGGTTTGAGTCCAATGGAGGGTCTCGGTTTTTCATTGAAAGGGTTCAGGAGCCTCTGGGTACTGTGGATGGAGGAAATCCATTTCGCACCACCCAAGAAGCCTGGGCTTCTGATGATTCCCCCTGTAAAAACCAACATAAATGGGACCGGGCCCCAACACGACTTTCGGAGTTCTCCTTTTGGTTTCCCGGAAACTCCCTGAGTTCCGTTTCGGACTTTAAACCTTTCTGGGTTGGACCGTTGTGGTGGCAAACAACCAATTCGGACTTTTTTGGGCTGATCCACTCAGAAAGTGCGTTCCCGTTAAAGCCATAAAACATGGGTACCGAGCCTTAAGAAATGAATCGAACACCAACAACTTGCTGTTTCGCAACTCAGGGTACGTTCGAAACCCGGGTTTGCAGTTTGATGTGGCTATGACCGTGAATGAGGAAACGCCTCTAAACTGGCGCGCGGTTGGTTACATACATCTCAATACTCGGCGATGACGTGAAACTCGAAAACAGATGGTGATTACACAAGTCTGAAACATAGTCGGTGACAGAGTGCCCCATGTATTTCCGATGTCCACCAAAGGGTTCAACCAATTCATGGGCATGTAGTTGCCTATTCTATGGCAAGCTCGCCGATTTGGGGGGCCAAACTGGCTCACTTAAGACTCTGAGAATGGACAGGAATCAACCCTTACTCTGCAAGTCGACATGGAAGCTTGTAGGGTGTCTGCACTGTTGTTGGCATTTGTTGTCGGTTTTTAGGTCCTTTGGTCCTAGTCATGTTTGTAGTGGGGGGATGCAAACAAAGTTGCTTCTTAACCATTCCAAGGGTTGGAGATGGTTGGAACTATGTGTAATCATGAAAGACCAGTGGTTTCTGTCAAGCCCCATAGCCAAAGAAGGTCTTGCCAGACCATTTCTCACTCCCTGAGTTCTTGGACGAAAATTTGTTGGGTCTGGATCAATTTAGTGACAAACGACAACTTTGCTTACTGCTTTTTACCAATCCACTCGTTCGGATGTGAGATTTGATAGCCATTGAGGGGAGGTTCCTGGCAGAAAAGATTGTCGGATTTTGGCCAGCATAGTCGGTCCTTGTTGTTTGCATTGGTAGAGCATATATGTGATTCCGGGTCGGCCGATCGGGTGTAACTCATGCTTTACCAGGGACCCGGAAAATCCATTTGGTCAATTCCTCCAGGTGGTTTCCTTTTGGATTTCCCTTCACCATCGAAAAAAGGGGTCCATTTTTGATAATATTGTTATATATAATATATAATGTTATGTTTGACTGGTCCAGTTGTTCCATTAAAACAGGTCATTCCCAAAACTGGGCTCCAATCAGGGCGTCTCCTCGAAATTGGGACCAATCTTTTGAGCTTCCTGTTGGCTCCGATTCCTATGTCGACCACCACCTTGCCTTCGCCCACCTTTTCCCGCGCACTTTTCCTCAAAAGTCGCTCAGTTGCTGGTTCTTCAAAATCGAGAAGAAAACCAAAAAAACATCGAACGGGCGATCCAGGCGATCCGCCAGAGAAACGGAAAAAATAATTTAAAAAAAATACCCCCCCAAAAAAAAACGATCAGGCGATCCAGGCGATCGATCTCCGCCGGAGAAGCCGATCCACCCATCTCCGTGTCCATTGCCAGGTCTTGGCGATCCTGGCGGCGTCCCGGCGCAGGACGGCAGCGCGGAAGCGCGGAACCGGAGCGACAGAGGTCTCACGAGCTGGGTGTTTGCTGTTTGGAGGGTGGGCCTTGTTGGATGGTTTTAAAGGGAAACCACCAGGGAAACGGTTTTCTGTCTTTTTTGGTTTTGCGGGGGGGAGTCCCACAAAAAAGAGAGACACCCCATGTGAGCCACCAATAGCGATGAGGTGGCAATAACTTTGCTCGTGGCTCTGAATCAGAAAGACGGCTCCTTCTTGCCTGCCAGGAAAACCACCACCACACAAATGGAAAGATGTTCGGCCAAGTTGATAAGTGACCTTCTAATAACAAGGTGAACTCCACTAAACGGGTGACTTCTAAGTTGGTTCTAACCTACGCTACCAACAGCTTACCTTACCAACTTGGCCAAAGGCCCAAGTCGATAAAACCTATAGGGTTTCCAGCCATTCAGCCTCAGGCCTCCAAGGCCCGGCACCAAACGGATTGTTGTTGCCAAGCGGAGAGCAACAGAAGCCACGCTTGGGGCCTGAAACAGGTGGTTTGTTTGGCACTGCCAGAATCCAACGGTACCTCAAAATGGCGACGCCTCAATGTTTGAAATCCCTCAGCCCCTCCACGCAGATTTCCCTAATCTGCTGCTTAGGGTAGAAGAACGCAACTTGCTTTATGTGAAGTCTAAGATAGACAATAGGCCTGGAGTTTCGCCCAGTGCAGCACTAAAACAATCCCGAAGCACCAGAGAGATTTGTTGCCATTTGGGTGGTCAAAATGAAACCAGGAATTGGACCGCAGGTTTTAGTCCATGTTTTCCAGCAGGGCAAGCCATTTTGGGAATACCAAATTTTGACCAACCGCCATGTGCCGCGCGAAATCGAGGAGACTGGAGGGCCTCATGGTGGATCCGGTGAGTTTCTTTGAGGCTCAGGAGCCAAGTTCACTCGAAGGTCGGCGAGGGACGTCTCCTTCTGACCCTTTAAAAATGGTTGGTCATGACCCCAAATTATGGGGTCATGACCCAACTTTTTCTAGGGGTCATGGAGAGATGTAGGTGCATTTTGCCAAGGGATATTAGGACTTTAACTTTATTTTTATTTTTTCTTTTTTACCAACTGATGGATTTTCCATCAAACCACTAAGCGTTAAAACTTTTGGCAGGGGAGCAGAAAGCAACCAAGTATACTTCTATGAATTCCCTCTATGGATTGGGATTGTCCAACCCAGGAGTGTTAGGTGCTTCCTTCACTTCCATTCCTTTTGCCACTTTCCTTTTGGCTTTTCAAAAAACAAATCCCTTGATTACCTACTACACAGGTAAAATGTAATCACTGGGTCCGGGAAAGATGTGTTTTTTCTGTTGTTAAATCGGAGAACCCTCTCCAACCCGTGGTTTCCCTTTTTATTTGGGGTCTGGTTTTCTATTTCCGGTTCTTGGTGTTTGGTTGTTGCTTCTCTCGCAATAAAGGGTGTCTTGTGGCTTTGTCTTGCCCCATTTGGCTTGTGGTTTTTCCTCGTGGTTTCCCTTTCACCCCAAGCACATAAGGTTGCTCGCCTCCAAGCAAGAGAATCTAGCAAGCCTCATGGAATTTGGCCACAGGACTGGGTCCAAACTGAGAAAACGGAAGCCTTGCCAAACCAGTTGTTCCATTTTGCTGTGGGTGAAAACCGTTTTTGGATCCCATTTTGGGGGATTGGTGCACCACCCATCTTCGGCTTTATTTTAGTGGGGATTGGGATGTTCACTGGGGGTACGGGATTTTGACCCATGGCCATTTGAGTCACAATCAAAACCCGGGTAGATGAAGGTTAGTATGGGATAAATAGCTTCGGCCGCCATTCTTGTACCGGGTGTTGATTATGACTCATTTGGAGGTACCAAGAGTCAGACTCCGGATGGTTGCGAAAATCCGCTGAAATCGCGCCACGGTTAAGGAAACCATGGGAATGAAAGCATTGTTGGTTGGTATTTATGTTGGGGAATCGAATCATTCCACTGGATTTCTGAAAGGTGGTGCGAAACGGATTTCGCAACCATCCACAGGTGCTCTTGCTCCTCTTTTTTGGGTTGGACCAGTGAAACCATGGTTCAAGCCAATCTGTGTTGGCAATTGCAGGGGAATCATCATTCCAAGGTTTCTTAGGTGGTCAGGATTTCGTCCATCCACAGTAGCTTCAAGTTATTCATGGCTGCAACTGTGCGGTACTGGAAATGCAGAGCACGCGAGAGATATTTCTCATTCCCGGATGATGGAAATCAGGAGACTTTACATGGGTTCTGAAGGGGCATGTGCGGGTATGTGTTTTGGAGGCATGGGTGCTTATGCACCATCAATGTACGTTTGTAAGGCAGTATATACTTCTTATATAAGTGGTATGTAACCTTACCTCCATAACCCATTCCTGAAGATTGCAACTTGACATCAAGCCCAGATCCATTTACCTGGAGGCAGGTAACCAAGGGCTTGCCACTGATAGAAAAACCAAGGATTGAACATGGATCGAAGGGTTACCTACGAAAAGATGGCTTGAAACGGAACCGCCTGGGATGGTCTGGGAGGATTCTGGCATTCATCTTCCATTTGTTTAAGATTGTTTCCTGGTTTCCCCTCTCGGTTTCAAAGCAAATCAATCACTGGAAACATTGTTATTTTCCCTTGTCGGTTTTAGGGAATCTATCACAACTTTAAATATGTCCAGGTTTCCCCTGTCGGTTCAATCACTACTGGACATATGTTTTGTTCAGGGGACGAACCACGCAAATGCATTGCGACGTGTTTTCGAAGCTCGCCGCTCGATACCTGTCAGATCGCTGCTAATGGCCGCAGGTAATGTTTGGTTTTTGGTTTTTTCTTTCGGTTTGGATTGATGTACGGATTTGCACATCTGGTTGCAATTACAGGGCAATCAGGAACCAGCCCTACCCACCAAACCACTACTCCAACAGCAGGAAGCTTTGGGGTCGATAGGCCCAAATAAGCTGCGGGGTGGCATGCAGGGAGGGTTCGTACAAGGAGGTTCCGGGCCTGTTGGGGGTACCACCTGGCAGTCTCTCTTTTCTTCATCGTTGCTTAGTGTGTGTGTGTGTGGTTTAGTTGCTATTGTTTGTTTTTGCGTTAAGCATTTTGCAGAAGGGTCTTGCAAAGAACGCGTGTTGCTGACATAGCAGGTGGCGAAGATATGGCCGTGTCTCAAAACTAGGCTCAAGGGCTGTCATGTGAGGGTTGTTCAAGAAGGCCCAAGTTTTTTGGGGGGGCCGAAGAAGTGTGAAAACCGTCCCAAAATAAGGGGAGGGGGGCGGCCCGGGGGGAGGGGGACGATGTCCAAGCCACAAGTTTCCTTCTGCTTGAACCTTGCCAAGGTTCGCGAATATTTTAACAATCCAAGCTTTGGGTCAGATCAACCCCGGGCATTTTGTGCGACGAGCGGGCAGTCATGGTCTGGCTGGTCATTGTCGCACAATGTAAGTAATACTGTGGATGGACGAAATCCTGCACCCCCTAAGCAGCCCTGAAATGACGATTCCCCTGCAAAAGCCAGCCAGCCATGGTTTCCCATAGTTCGAAAGTGGTGCAGGAACTCGGCCATCCACAGTACCAAGATTCGACCCATTTGGAGCGCAAGTCTGGGTTAAGATATGGCCTTTCGTGGATTCAAAGCAAAGATCCTCAACGACAGCAATGCACAGGAGCTGACCAGACCCTCCACGGCAACACCCCGAGGCACGGAGAACTTGAAGGCGTTCCGTTTTCTAAACTCGGGAAACCCTTACCCACAGAGTCCATTTTGCTGGTAAAGGCAGGAAACCACGGGCTTGCAACCCAACAGCAAACCCAAAAGCATATTTGCTTAGCAATAGCAGAACAAAAGAAGGTTTGGCGGTTACATACTGGTGAAACGGGTTCTTGGGATCCACCGGGTGGATCGTCCCAATTTAGTGGTTTTCTGGGGCCGACACCCCCGAAAAGTTGTAGGACGAGTTTATTGATCTGGGGTCAACTTGTCCATTCCTGGACTTGATCGTCATTTTTTTGAGGGTGTCGTCGTGCATTTTGGTGCGTTACACGAAGATCGGACTTTTTCTGGCCAATTCACTCGATGTGGTTTGGTTCTAGCCTGGAACATCCCAAACAGTCGGGCTCAGTGCAGTGGATTCCGCCATGCTGTGGGTCAAAATGAAACACTTGGGATTACGCAGGTTTTGGTCCTTCTACCTTTCTGATTTGCCAGGGCAAGCCATTTTGGACCCCTATTTTTGACCCACAATGTTGACCCCTTTCTTTGGGAGGGGGGCTCCTTTTCAAACCAACCAAAATCTTCGGCGCTTGCAGAAGAAAACAAACTCAGCCCAACAGACGGTGTAGCATCGAAGTCGGCGACCCATTGTTGCAGCGATGGCACGGTCCGAAACCACCCTGGCGGTTGGAGGTCCAACCTGACACGAGCACTGAGCACCCTCAAAATTCAAACCCCAATGTGGTGGTCTTTTTGACTAGCTCCCCCACTAGTGCCCTTTCTCACCGCTTTTTGTTTTTGGGTGGGAGGGTTCGGGACCCTACTAAAATAGACTATACAGCAAAAAGGGTACCCTTAGTCAAACCTCTCTACTGGAGAACCTAGTTGAATCGGGGAACCGTTGTTGGTGGGTGTGAAAGGGAAACCAATTAAAAGCAAGCAGTTTGCGGGGTACTCTACTTCAAGACACACCGATCTGGGGGCAATCTCCCATTTTTAGGTTGGCATTTTGAGGGCCGAGGTATTTTTGTTGAAGGACAACCAAAGAAAAAGAAACACAGACACCCTATCTTTTTGAAAAGTGTCCTCTCCAGAAAAAGACGAGCTTCCGCCTCTCTTTGTTTTTTTTGCAGGGAAGCCGCCAGAAAAAGGAAGCAGAGAGCGACGCCATGTTTCTAGGGCTTGATTCCCATTTCTGTTCAACCATCGTTCAAACGCTTTACGATTGAGGAGGTCTGCCACCAGGTTGGAAAGAGCACGGATCAGCTTATGATCCGGGATCTTCGTGGCTATTCCAAGGTGTCCAAGAGGGGGCCACATCTTTTGAGGCGAAGCGAAGCTCGAGTCGGCCAAGAACTACGATCAGCGTGAGAAACTGGGCTACAGCAACGTGCAAAAACCGGATCCGTGCGCAACCTGGGTTTCAACGGGGGCTTTCTGGAAAGGATTCCGATCCCTGGAAATAATTCAAATGGAAGCTACCCCTGGAATTTTGGGACGGACGCCAAATTTCCCCCCCCCCAAAAAAAAAAAAAAAAAAAACAAGAGGGGAATCAACCCCTAGAATTTCGGGGGGCAGCGCCAAGTTTCCCCGAGCAAGAAACAAGACGAGAGGAGATCCAGCCACCGCCAGGCAGCGCCCAGGCTCAAGCCCTGAGCCGACAGGCGGGGCCCGCGGAATTAGTCGCGGTCGCGGCCGGTCAAACAAACCACTGCTGACTTATGACTCACTTCGTAAGTCCTGGACTTGGTCATTTGCTCGGCTTGGACCATGGCGGAAATTCACTGTTTGCCTCTATTTGTTGCTTCTTTTCTCGCCCAGCCGCTCGTTCGGCAGTGAGCAGCCTTTGAAAGGAAAGCCAACCGAAAACCGTCGCGCCATTTTGGGGGGTCAAGCAGAGAGACCCAAGTGAAGTCATGCGGGATGGTGGGCAAGCAAAGAAAAGAGCCTTCATTGTTTTCATGAAGGCGAAACTCAGCAGTCCGGCTCGTTTGGGTTTTCAGGTCTTGTAGGCTTTAGTGGGGGTTTCCATCTAACCCACAAGTTAAGCTTGTAGCAAGGATCAGAGAAAAAAAGAAAAACACGGTCAGCCCAGTCTTTATATCTTGCGCCTGCCTGACTGCCAGTGGCTGCTTCGATTTTCCACCAGCAACAGTCTGTTGTAGGGTATTTTGCGTCTGGACGAAGGACACTGTTTCGCATAGCGATGGTGTGTAAGAAGACAGTGATGTGGACCCCTGGATTTCGACCCTGCGAGTTTTTGCATGGCCAAGGACGCAAATTGGGCCGGGCCTGAGCGGGCAGCACACAATAAGAAAAAATGGTGCCGGCCAAAAGTTCCGGCGCTGACCCTGTGGCTAGTTTGTGTTCTTATCTTTCCGGGGGAGTTGGGGGGGGGCGTGGCCCTTGAAATTGTTGATTTGCACTGTTGTTGGCATGCTTTTAGGTATGTTTGTCCTGTTCATTTTTAGCAGGCGGATGCAAGCATTGTTTTTGCTAGCACAGCAAGGGTTAGAAAGTGGTTTAAAGTTGGAAACCAATGGGAGCATAGCCCATGTGTCTTGGCGTGGACCCCTGTGTAAAGCTACCATTTGTTTTCTTCACCCATGGAACCTCTGGAGCTAAGTGGTTAGTAAAACCCTTCCCAAACCGTCTAGGACTGCTCCAGTCTCAAAGGTGTGTCTTCTGAACGCCGCTCGGTCCCTCGGGCTCGCAGTTTCGGAAAGATTGATTCCCCTCAAACCATCTTGAACCTCAAAGTACCTCCAAAAGGAATGAATTCACTATTTTTGGGGCAACATCTCATTGTTTTAGTTGGAAGTTTGAACGTCCAGGGGGTTGGAGCCTCACATTACCCATGTTGAAACCCCCAGTTGCCAGTCTTAAGGGAGGCGCAGACACAGACAAAACGAGGGGCTGGATTCTCTTACGCAGGGCGGCGGTTGCAATCGTAATGAACTGAAATGGCCCACGTTCATTTGCTGAAAACAATATGTTACACCATTTCTCCAGGGGCTTTTCGAGGGAATCTAGCACTGGACAATATCGTCGCATGCTTTTCCTTTCCCAAACTCGATCAAACCCCCTCCCCGATTGGTAGCCACTGCCATGTCGAGGCGCTCCGATCAGAAGGCCGGAATTGGAGAGGTGTACATCGACCACCCTCTGCGCCAGGGCGCCAAAAAATGCACCAAGTTGAGCTTGTGGCGCCTGGGCTTTCCCCTGAATTCTTCCATTGGCTTAAGAATGTTTATTATTATTATTATTATTATTATTATTATTTTTTCGCCTCCTGGTTTGAAAGGGAATCTATCACTGCTGGAAATATGTCTGTATTTTGTCCAGGGGGCGAAAACGCAAATGGAAGAGTTCCGCTTTTTGTTTGGCCTGTAAGAAGCAAGTGCAAGAAAAGGATGCCAAAAACTCGCCAGTTGCTTTTTGGCTTTTGCCCAGCAACTGTGAGTCTGTGTTTAGGGCAAGGGTATTTTGTGTCAGGGAAAAAGCGGTTTCGCAACTTGGTGATCCAGGTGCTTGCTTTCAACAAGCTGTTGTGGGGCGAAGCCCTTTGATGAGAAAGAACAAGGGCTGCCGATTGGATTCTTGCAATGGAAATCCACCGGGTTTCGGTCGAAGGGCGGTCCGCTTTGGCCAAACCGATTCAACGATTCGGAAAGAATTGGTCATAGACTATTTGTTTAATGCAAGTGTGAGGGTTCACGTGATTCTTTTTGGCTTTCGGACGTGCTTCAGGTGCAACTTCGGTTGCACTTGCCGAATTTGATCGCAGCCCGGCTCAGCTCGTGGAAAGCGAAGGCGAACTATGGAGAGCTGCGATGGTTACTGCCTGCTTCAGGCACTGAACCTAGAGCCACCCAACTTGACGAGGATGAAGCAGATGGCCGAGCAGAAAGCCCATCAAGATGGTCGGATTCTTCATGCACCGCAGGCTGTCCAAGAAAATCGGCTTGTCGGCAAAGAAGAATGTGGAGTCGGCTCAAAGGCCACAGCTTCTGGCCGGGCTTGAATTACCATGGTTGACCCACGGAATTCATGGGGCCCACGCTCGACTGGTCCTCTTGGCAAGCCGCCAGGGACCCGTTCGTTGCTGTGACCTCAAAATCCGGCACAAGGTCAGAGACTCTGTTGCCCAGCGGCGCCCATTGTTTCTCTTTTTTTTTGGGTAAGGGTTCCCCTTCAAACTCAACCAACAAAAAAAGGTGTCCTTGTTTTGTTTCCATGAGAATCCACTGGGCATCTGAGGAGAGTCAAGAAAATAAGACGGGTCCAAAGCCCCATGGCTTTCCGGTTGCAAGCCTTGCCTTGCATGGTCATGCTTTCATCGCGACTTCGGGTGAGCAGGGCCCAAAACCGACACCGATTGGCCATCTCTATGTTCAAACAATCCTTTTACTGGGGATAGGATAGCGATACTCAACCTCTCAAAAGTTTCAGGGCAACCAATTTTGCAATGGCCCCACATGAGAGACCATGACCATGACACTAGACACGCGACCGAAGACCATGACCAGCAGAAGGAGCTTTGACCATGACAAATCTTAGAACGTGGTTCGGTTCCGACCTGGTTTAATGGGGCGAAAACCGGAAAGCCTTTGATGGTTCCAAAAGTCAAAATCGGTGGCGGGGGCTGCTCACATTGCACAATGCGTATGTCCTGATTGTGTGGTCATTTCAACTGTGGCATAGGCAACTTTGAAAGCGCGGGGACATACTGAGTGCAAGCTTTCTTTTTTTCCAGAAAGCCAGCGACGGACAAATAGGCTGCCCTAAGGGTCTCGACTGTTTTTGGGCCCTCCAAATGGGTTGTTGTTGAGGGCCCTTGAGGAATTCGGGGTTCTCGATTGGAAGGTCCATTATGGGGGTTTGCATTGGAGGGGTCCGGGGACCCTTAGGGTGGATGTTGAAAAGAATGGAGACGCAGCCCGGAGATTTTCGCAACACCTTTCAAAAGGGCTCCTCAAAATACATGTTGCCCATTTGAAACATGGCTTTTTCCACCAAAATCAAGTTGGAAACCACCATTTACAAGTTGCAATGTTCAGGTGTTTTTCATGTAAAGATCCCTGTTTCAAAGTTTGCCTCCCAAGTCAGTCGGCCGACTTGCACACACCTCTGGCAGTCGTGCCTCGCCTTCGGATAGATTGCTCCAGAAAGCCAAACACCTCACAAAATAGGCCGGAGTTTGAAAGGCATGGTTGAAAAGAACGGGGAGGCAACCCCTCGAAGGTTTGCAACACCTTGCGCAACCTTTGCCTCCCAAGTTTAGCAGGTTTTTGGCTGTCCAAATTCGATTGCTAGCTGGCGTTGGCGTCCTTGTCAAGCCCAGACTTTTATGGACGAGCTGATTTTTCAAGCACGAAAGCTGGGGACAGAACCCTTTTATTTTCTCCAAATACACAACATCCTGAGAGGATCGTGGACAAGCCCAAATATTGCCCTGGGTAAGCCATTGCACATTTTTTACCCTGGGGCCAATCCATGATGAACTTGCTATATCATCAGTGTCCAGGGTTCCTGTTCATCTTCCTCAACCCCCCAAAACCGGGTCTTGTTTTGGCAACTCTGACCGCCAATTTGTTTTTATGTTTGGGGGTGGGGGTGTTCCACGAATCCTTCCCCCACATTCTGGGCCGAGTTTTGGGCAAGGGCGGGTCCCCATGCTTGCAGTGCAAAGTGCCGCTTCGGGCAATTCGCTGAGTCGTCCATGAGTCCATGCGACTGTGGATACAAAACTCGGAGCCGCACCACGGTCAATGAAACCAGGGGGGTCTTTGTGCCACCTTTTGTGAGAGAATGGGCGACCCCCTCAACAAGGGATCACTACAAGGGGGTCGATCATTTTTCCACCAAAGGTGGCAAAAAGACCCCCCTGGATGAAGCCACGGTTGAAACCATAGCGCTTGCTAGGGTATTTACAGGCGAATCGTATCATTCCCTTGGGTTTCTGAAAGGCGCAAGCATCCACAGTAGCTGCCTCACTTCCCGGACTTGCTCGTCCTTTTCGTTTTTTTTTGGCTTGGACCTGCGCTCTACGACCAACAGTTTTGTCGAAAGCGAGGAGACATGCGTGAAGCTTTCCGAGCGGTACCTCCTCATTCTTGCCAGGGATCCTTTTCTGCATTTTGCCATTGACGGGCAAAAAGGGTGGATTTTGAAAGTGGTGGAACAGAACGGGGAGGCAACCCCTCGGAAATTCCCGCAACACCAAGGCGCCCGAGTCCGCTGATTTGGAATTACACATCACCGTGAGCCGTCGTGCCTCGCTTGACACTTGCAGTGAAGACCCGAGTCAAACGCGGCAGCCACGGTGCAAACCAGAAGGAACTCGCGGGGTTGTCAAAAATAATTCGAGCTGGTGGATGCATTGTCTTTGAGACCTCTTCACGTGGAGAGCCATAGGTTTTTGGCACCCCCTTGCCTGAACACAGTTGCAGTTCCATTTTCGGACGATGCTTCGGGGCACCCGGGTCCCAGGACTCCAACATGTCACCGAAGCTTCGGCTCTTTTGCACCAAAGTCCCAGCGCAGGAAAAGAGTTTGCGGCCGGCCGCTTTGGGCCAGGGCACCCATTGGTTTTAAGGGCCCGAAGCTTCAACCCAAAAGAGACACGATTTTAAAGGTACCCCTTTTCTGGGTGGGTTTTACAAAACTTTAGAGCCTCCGGCTCAGTCCGCCGACATTGTCCTCTCCCTTTTATCCTTCTTCCTCTCTCTCTTTGTCTCCTCCCCCGTGTGTTCTGTCGTCCTCTCTCCCTCCCTCTGCTCCCCATCCTCCCCATCCTCCCAAGCCTCTCTCTCTCCTCAATCTCCCTCTCTCTCTGTGTCTCTCTCTCTCTCTCTCTATCTCTCTTTCTCCGTCTCTTTCCGTCTCCCTGTCTCCTGCCTGTCCACGCCCCTCTACAGAAAAAAGGGTACTGGGTCCTCGGGAAACTTGAGCCACGGACAAAGAACTTGAGCCATTTGCGGTGTGCCATGGGGGAGCGGAGTCTTTGAGGGGTATTTGGCGAGGGGGCGCTGTTGAATGTTAACAGCACTTCCCGTCACAAAACGCACTGGCGCACTGCCTCTGGCCAAGAGATTGTGAGCGTCAAGCCAGCTAGACACATTGGTGCTGGGTTCCTTGTTGCTCAGCTGTGTGCCAGTAGGATTTGGTTTGATGGAAGTCACAGGCTTAGATGTTGCTGACGACGCAAGTGCCACCCGTGCCATGGGGGAGCGGACACTTTGAGGGGTGTTTTGCGAGGGGGCGCTGTTGAATGTTAAGAGCACCTCCCGAAACGCACTGGCACGCTGCCTCTGGCCAAGAGATTGAGAGCGTCAAGCCAGCTAGACCGTATTGTTCAGCTGTGTGCCAGTAGGATTTGGTTTGATAACAGGCTTATAGATGTTGCTGACGACGCAAGTGCCACCCGTGCCATGGGGGAGCGGACACTTTGAGGGGTGTTTGGCGAGGGGGCACTGTTGAATGTTAAGAGCACCTCCCGTCACAAAACGCACTGGCACACTGCCTCTGGCCAAGGTTTGATGATCCTAGCTTGCTCAAAGGCTAATCCATAACGATTAGTGGGTTACGGATTGCACGGTTTGCGGATTAGACTATGCGGTTTGCGGATTGCGGATTATGGGTTGCACGGATTTGCAATGCTCCGACATGCGGCTTTCATCCAAAGTTTGCAGCGCGGATGGCAGATTTAGAAGACTACCAGCCAAGACAAGGACCAGGCGGACGACGGATTGCTTTTAGGCCCCCCAGGATTTCGAACCTGCAGCATTTCCAACCAAAACCACTTTTGCTCACTTTGAGCAATGGCAACGCCGTCAAAGCGGCCAAGAGAGCCCGAGCCGGCTTCAGCTGAGAAAGCGCGGTGGTGGTGGTGGTGGTGGTGGTGGTGGTGGTGGTGCTGGTGGTGGTGGTGGTGGTGGTGGTGGTGGTGGTGGTGGTGGTGGTGGTTGTGGTGCTGGCGAGAGCAATGTTTGCTGTTCTTTTGTTGTGTTTGTCTTGTTGCGTCGGCTTCGTGTTTTTTGTTTGCGGGTCCGGTTTCCTGTGACGAGCGCCCGGCCAGGAACCACGGCCTGGAGGACAACAGCAAGCAGACGCTCCAGACGCTTGGCTTTTTGTGTTTTGTTGTTTCTGCTCCTTTTTGCTGCTGCT